GCGGCCCGAGTTGGGGCGTCAAGACCTCTGGGGAGGGCTGGGGCCGGAGATCGGGGTAGAGTTGGGGGTCGGGGTCAGCGGGGAGGAGGCTGGAATTGAGGGTCGGGGCTGGAGTTGGAGTGGGGTGGTCTGGAGTGAGCCTGAGTCGGGGGTCTAGGCTGGAGTCGGGGGTGGGGGTCAGCCGAGGGGGAGACGGGGCCAGGGATTCGGGCTGGGGCTGGGAGGCTGGTATTGGAGTGGGGAATCAGGACGAGAGCTGGGGTGGGAGGTTAGTGGGGTGCAGGCGGGAGCTTGAGTTGGGGGTGAAGGGCTTTTGGGGGGCTGGGAGTGGAGTTAGCCCAGGTTGGAGTGCAAGTTGGGTTAGTTGGGGAGGGGGGTCAGGGTTAGCGGGAGGAGGAGGAGCAGCGACCTGGAGGGGTAGTTAGGGAGGGGAACTTGGGGTGCGGGGGAGTGGGTTGAGAGAGGACAAAGTTAAGGAATGGCGTGGGAGTTCCCTTTCTGAAGGGGCTCCAGGGGTGTTGGGCGAAATGGAGAGTTAGGCTTGGGGGCTTGGGGAGGAGGAAGTTAGGGTGAAGCGATGGCAAAGGAGTTGCGGGGCCAAGCGGTGGTGGCCTGGGTGCTGGAGACCCCCCCGAAAGGGTTTTATAGGAGGTTGACTTGGGGGGGGGCGGGGCGGGTGTCTGTCTCCAAGCCGATTAGAAGGGTTTGGGAGAGGGCTGGTCCCCTACTTTTCCGGGGCTGATGGGCTGGTGTGGAAGGGGGAGGTGCCCCTGACCAGCAGCCCAGCCGTGGGCTTCAGCATGGGCTGAGAAGTTTGTTTCTGGGGCACCGCCTGGGAGGCAGGTGTCCTGGCAAGCAGAAGGCACGTGTTGCTGGCTGAATTTTTCAGAAATTCTCGGACCCAGGAGTAAGGAACTGAAGTGGGAGTTGGGGGATGATGATGTTGAGGGACGTGGGCGCGCTTTCTCTTTCCTGGGGAGCGGGGCTGCTAGGGGTTGGAGGCAAGAGGTAGATGTTGAGCAGCAGGGGGCCCTCGCTGGGGAGGGGCGTCTCTGAGAGATGTGGGCTTCACTTCACAAACTCTTCTGGGACCTGAGGTCCAGCCTGGAGAGGGGGCAGAGAGGGGGCTCGCGGTTCTGGACCAGACCGTCCCATCTTGTTCCAGCTGCGTGCGTGGCTGCAGGACCTCTGAGAGAGTTAGCTTGCTCCTCTGGAAAATGGGAATAATTAACAGGGCGGTGGGCGCCTCCGGCGGCCACAGGGTGAGATGAGGGGCGTGCTTCTCTCCCTCCTGCACGAGGCAAGCATATGTGAAGTGTTGATGATAATGTTCTAAATTAAGGGGTTCTGGGGGGGGATCGGGTGGGTGGAATTGCTGTGTTGGCAGGGAGGGAGGGAGGGAATCACTTGATGCTTGACTCCAGTTCTTCAACCTGAGAGGTGCACATAGGAATTGTCCCAGAAGCCTTAAGAAAGAATCTACCTGAAAAAAAAAATCTGTTATTAAAAGTGAGGAACAGGCAGAAGGAGATGAGTCCAGGAGATGCCTGGAGTCGGTGGCTGGAGATTCGGAAGGGCTGTCACGGCGCGAGGACATCCGCTAGAGGAAGGCTACTGGTCTTTCTGGTTGAGGACTACCCCAGGGGGGCCATTCCGTTCTGCCCCCAACGGGAACCACTGGCCATAACTACCATACTCTTCAAATATATAAGTTTACAACTTGAGTTCCTGTGACGGCACCAGACCTCCCCCTCAGCTCTGCTGCCGGGGGTCATCTGTGGGTGGCCACCCAGTGGAGGACATGGGCTTTGAGGGTGCTGAGGGGCGTCTCAGTGCGAGGAGCATCCCCAGTTGTGATGACCACAGAGGCCCCAGACATGGCCGAGGGTGCCCTGAGGGGCAGTATCCCCGGCGGGCCTGA